GTAGCCTTGAGGAGCAGATATTCTTCATTATCATTATAAATTATCACTGCAGAATTACACTGTATTATGACTCTGTTCTTAGATGACTTGTTAGGTCAGATTTTTATAAGACTAACAGACCTCCGAATGTAACACTACAATACTCCCCCAAGTGTTACTAATCACCTTACTTTATTTCAATTTTTAATGGCATCCTTGTCATATTGTAATTTATTTTGTTTATTTTTACTGTCTGTACAAGTTGCTAGCATTTAAACATGGCTGGGGCAGGAGTATTCAGCTGTATTATAAAGCTCAAGCTCTAGAAGACTGCATGGCTCATAATAGCTGTTCACTAAATATTAGTTGAAGGACTAAGTGATGGAGTGAATGAACAGTTATACTGGTTTAACAACCTATGTGAAATTACATTCCAAAATTTCATACATTAAAGATTATAAGGTGTGGGTAGGCTTGGATTAAGAAAGGATGAGAAAGTCATTTTCATTTTGGGAAGATAATCTAAATTGTATTTGCTATGGCAATTGGTGATAGTAATGATAAATCTGTATACTGGTAAGAAGAGCATTCTCGAAAGCCTGGAGGTGAAAGTGAGTTGGGGAAGAAGGAGAATGTCTGTTGAAGTGGAGTGAATGGGGAGAGGAGGTATTTATAATGACATCAGAAATATGAGGAAGGAGCAGAGAATGTAGGTCATTTTAAGGCATGGTGGAGTTTTTTTTAAAGCAGATTTATTAAGTTTTAATAGACACAATATACTGCACACATTTAAAGCATACAATTTGATAACTTTTGGCTTTTGTATACACCAGTGAAACTCACTGCAGTCAAAATAACAAACATCCCCCAAATTGCTTACCCTTGGTAATTACTCTTCACTCACCAGTTTTCCACCCCATGCCCAGGCAACCACTGATCTGTTTTCTGCCACTCTATATTCTTTTGCATTTCATAGAATTTGATATAAATGGAATCACAAAGTATGCACTATGTACTGGTTTCTTTCACTCAGCGTATTGTTTTGAATTTAATCCAATTTATTGTGTGTATCAAGAGTTCACTCCTTTCTATTACTGATTAGTATTCCATTGTATGAATAGTTTATCTTCTTGCCTGTGATGGACATTTGAGTTTCTTCCAGTTTTTGGTTGTTAAAAATAAAGCTGCTATGAGCATTCCTGTGCAGATGTTTATATGCATATGTTTTGTATGTTGCATGTGCACATGCCTAATACTTATTCTCTTGGATAAATATTAGGAATGGAATGGCTGGATCATATGGATTTATGTTTAAAGGAAATTACCTATTTTCCAAAGTGATTGCACTATTTTATATTCCCACTAGCAGTGTGCGTAAGTTCATTTCTCTACATCCTTGCCAACACTTGGTAATATTAGTTTTTAAATTTTAGTAATTTTAGTCGGTGTGTAGTGGCATCTCATTGTGATTTAATTAGCATTTCTCTGATGACTAATGATGTTGGGGATCTTTTCATGTTGTTGTTTGCAATCAGTGTATCGTTGGTGAAGTGTCTGTTAAATCTTTTGCTCAGTTTTAATGGTTTGTTTGTTATAGAGTTCTTCATATATTCTGGCTTCTGTTTCTTTATCAGGTATGTGATTTGAAAATATTTTCTCCTAGTCTGTGGCTTGTCATTTCATTCTCTTAATGGTATCAATTGGAGACCAAAATCCAATTTATCATTTATTATTTTATGGTTCCTGCTTTTAGTGTCATTATCTAAGAAATCTTTGCCTAATCCTAGGTCACAAAGGTTTTCGCCTACATTTTCTTGTAGGGGTTTTATAGTTTTAGATTTTATATTTAGGGCTACGATCTCATTTTGAGTTAAATTTTGTATACGGTATGAATAATGAATTGTTTCCATTTAAAATATAAGTATTCAGTTATTCCAGCACTATATCTTAAAGAGACTATTCTATCTCCCTCTGAAAAACTTTTGTTGAGAATTTGTTGTCATTTTGTCAGCTGGATCTATTTCTGAACTATAAATTCTGTTTCATTTATCCATTTTTTCCCTATCTTTACACCAATACTACACTGTCTTGATTATAATAGCTACGTGTATAAAAACTCTTGAGATCAGGTAGTGTTGGACCTCAAACTTTTTTTTTGCAAAGTTATTTTGGCTATTCTTATTCCTTTTCATTACCATATGAATTTTAAGGACTATCTTTACAATTTCTTCTCAAAAGCTGCAATTTTGAATAGATTGCACTGAACCTTTAAATCAGTTAGGGGAGATTTACAGTAATGAGGCTTCTGACACATGAATACAACATAGTCCTTTTGTCTTCTTTCATCTCTCTTAGCAATGTTTTATAGTTTTTATTGTACAGGTATTTCACATCTTTTGTCAGATTTACTCCCTAGCCTTTCATATTTTAAAAAAAAATTCTACTATAGATGTTTTAATTTTAATTTCTGATCGATTGTTTGTAATATATGAAAATACAACTGACTATTATATATTGATCTAGTATGCTTCAACCTTCCTAAACTTACTAAGTAGTTCTGATAGCCTTTTTTGGTAGAATTCATCAGATTTTTCTACATAGAAGATCACGTTATATACGAATATTGTTTTATGTTTTCCTTTCCAAACTGGACATCTTATTTTATTTTATTTATTTTATTATTTTATTTTATTTTATTTTATTTTATTTATTATTTTATTTTATTTGTAACAGAAGAAAAAGGCGAACATCTGTTAAGCCTGCTTTTCCACTTTATTCTTCATTGTCAAATTGTTTTAGCTATTCTAGGTCCTTTGCCTTTTCATATAAATTTTAGAATAATCCTAAGTCTACAAAAAAACTCACTATGATTTTAATAGGAATTTCTTTAAACCTATAGATCAATTTGGGAGAATTAACATCTTTACTGTTATGAATCTTCAGATCATTGGACATGGTATGTCTCTCCATTTATTTGATTTCTTTCAACTACATTTTGTGACTTTCTAAAGATCCTGTACATGTTTTGTTAAGTGTAAACCTAAGTATTTTCATTTCTTTAGCATGATTGAAAACATTGTTTTTATTTCTATGTTTATGATTAGTATATAAAACTATGATTAATTTTTATGCAATGATAATCTTGTATCCTGTGACTTCGCTGAACTCACTTATTAGTTTTAGATATAATTTTGGTAAATTCCTTTGAATTTTCTACACAATCATATCATTTGCATATAGAGACAGTTTTATTTCTTCCCTTTCTCATCTGTCTGCTTCTAATTTTGTTTTCCTGTGTTATTTTAGTGGGTAGACTTTCCAGTACTGTGTTGAACTAGAGTGGTGAGAGCAAACACCATGGTCTGGTTCCTGATCTAAGAGGGGAAACAGTCAGTCTTTCACCATTAAGTATTATGTGTGATGTAGGGTTTTTTGTTTGTTTTGGTAGATGCTCTTTACAAGCTGAGGGAATTCCCCTCTATTGCTAGTTTTTTAAGAGTTTTCATCATGGATTGATGTTAGATTTTTGTCAAATTCATTTTTTGTATTAATTGATATAATCATATACTTTTTCTTCATGTCTTTTTGATAGGTGGGTTACTTGGTTAATTTTGGAATTTGAGCCAGCTTTGCATATGTGGAATACATCCGACTTGGTCATAGTGTGTAATTCTTTTAACAGATTGTTGGCTTTGGTTTATGAAAATTTTGTTGAGGATTTTTGTTCATGCAAGATATTGATCTGTAGTTTTCTTTTGTTGTACTGTCTTGGTGTGGTTTCGGTTTGGAATGTGTTCCTTCTTTTCCATTTTCTGGAAGAGATTGTGTAAAACCAATGTTCATTCTTTAAATTTTGGTAAAATTCTCCAGTGACATTGTCTTTTCTTTTTGCAAGGTCTTTACTTAAAAATCAAGTTTTTATGTCATTGCAAAACTATGCCAATTACCTATTTCAACTTGAGTTTTGGTGTTTGAGGAAACGGTCCACTTTTTGTTCCTTGTCAAATTTATGAATTTCAAGTTTCCATAATATTCTTGTATTGTCCTTTTAATGACTACAAGCTCTATAATAACTTTTTAATATCCACGTCTGCAGTTTTCAATATCTTTTTCAATTCTGGTCTGGTTTTTTTTCTTTGACTTTTCTCCTTATTATGAGTATCATTTTCAAGTTTTTATACATGCCTGGTAATTATTGATTGATGCCAGATGTTGTGAATTTATTTTCTTGGATGCTAGATACTTTTGTGTCTCAATAAATATTTTTGAAACTTTTCTCTGCACTTCAGTTGTTATTTGGAAACAGTTTGATCCTTTCAGGTCTGATTTCTTAAGTGGCACCAGGGCAAGATTTTTACACAGAGCTAATTATTTCCCAGTATTGAGGCAGAACCTTTTGAGTAGTCTTCCCCATGTCCCATGAAAAGTTTTCTAGTCTGGCTTGTAGTAACAGGCATTGATCTTGGCTTTTTGTGAGATCTTGGCTTTTTGTGGAGTGACTTCAGAATGTTTCCTCATTCTTTTCAGGTATTTCTTTTCCTGGACTCTGATAATCAGTTTCCTTACCTACACACACTGACCAATACTCTGATGAATACTTGAAGTGGACCCTCTGCGAGTCTCTGGAGTTCTCTTTTGTGCAGCTTTCTCCTCTTTGGTCCTGTGTTCTGTGACTCTAGCTGTTTTGGTCTCTCTGTACTCTTAGCTCTTTCCCCTCAGCTCTGGGAATCTGATGGCCTCTACCTGGACTTCCCTTCTCTGTGCCATGTTCTGGAAATTTTCTCAAGGCAGTAGACTGGGCAAACGGATCACCTCATTTGTTTCCTACCTTTAAGGATCACTCTCCTTCACTGCCTGATGACTAATGTATTGAAAACCGTTGACTCATATACTTGTAGTTTTTCCATTGTTTCAGGTGAAAGTGCAGTTCATTCCCTGCTACTTCACTTTGGCCAGAAGTGGAAGTTTGGAAATGTTTTATAAGATTTAATTTTGTTTTATAATTATGTGATTTTTTTCAGGTTCTAAAGTCAAATCCAAAGACAACAACAACAAAAAGAACATTGTACAGTAAAGAAGATTGGGTACTATCTCTGTCCCTTCCATTTCCTTTTTCCCTGTGGTAGAAAGCATCTAAAATGACCAGCAATGATTCCTACTTCCTAGTATTCACGACTTTTGTAATATCCTCCATATGAATAAGTGATTCCTAACCAATACCATATGGCAACATTGAGGGGATGTCACTTCTGTAATTAGGTTATAAAGGTTATGATTTTCTTGCCTTATTAAATAAGCAGGTTGCAAGATGGAGAGTCCTGTATGGCAGAGTCCTGTGGGAGCGTCCATCCAACAGCCAGCAAGGACCTGAATGCCCTAAGGCCAGCAATCAGTGAATTCTGTCAACAGTCATGTAATTGAGTTTGGATGTGGCTCTTTCCCCAGTTTAACCTTCAGATGAGACCCCATCCCAGGACAATACTTTGATTATAGATTTGTGGGAGACCCGGAAATAGAGGACCCAGATAATTCATGTTCAGATTCCTGACCCACAGAAACTGAGACAATAAATGTGTGCTTTTTTAAGCCACTAAGTTTAAGGGTACATTGCTACATCTCAACACAGTAGATAACCAACAACACCTTTATAGATATATTTTATTTAATGTTTTTTTTCTTCTATTATTTGCTTTTTATTTTTAAGGTAAACATATAAATTGATTTTCATTATTCACAGATTCCGTATCTGCAAATTCACCTACTTGCTAAAACTTGTTTGTAATCCCCAAATCAGTACTTTGCAGTCATTAACAGACATGCACAGAGCAGTGAAAAATTTGAGTTTCCCCATGCACTCTTTTCTAGCTGAGTTTGAACAAGGAGATGTTCTCTCTCTTATTCCAGCTCTCAAACAGAGATGCTGAGAGGATGGAGACCGCAGGGGCAGTGTAGTGTAGCACAAGAAACTCCAGCTATGGGACCAGTGGATAGAGTCTGAATCCACTTCTGGCACCTGTTAGTGGATTGACTTCAGTTTATTCACTTAATGCTTCTAAACCTCATTTTCTCATTTGTAAAATAAAATAGAATCTGCCAGTATGAGTTGATTTCAAGATTATAATCTTAATTACACAAAGTTGTAAAATCCACAAAGTTATAATTGAAGATTATAACCTATATATGTGTGTTATGTATATATTCATACATACATATGTATATATGTATAAGTGTATACACGTATATTTACATTATTTCTCCTAGGAGCACTGGTTCATTTTTCACTAAGTTTGTGTTTGCAGAAACTTTATAGAATATAACTAACGTGAATAATGAGAACTGATTGTATATCTATTCATTCATTTTCACATTTCAAGAAACTAAATAGCAATAACTATTCTCAATTTTTTCACTTTTTTTTTTTATATAACATTATATCTTGAAGTTCACTCCATATTAGTACATAGAGATATTTCTGTCTGACTCTCTCTGACAGGTGAATAGTACTGTTTTGTGTATATACCACAATTTATACAACAAGACCTCAGATAGTAGATGTTTGGGTTGACTGCTGTCTTTTGGTTTTAAAAATAGTACTGCAGTGGATAACCTTTGAACATATCTTTTTGCCAGTGTATCTTTGGGATATAGTCCTGAAAGTAGGGTTTCTGAATAAAAGGGTAAAACCTATATAGTGTTGTGGTTTGAGAGCTATGTCCCTATAGTCTTTGATAATCCTCCTCTTAAGAGGGAGAACCCAATTCCTATTCCATTTTGGGCAGGCCATAATGACTCCCTTTTAGCAAACAGAATACAGAAGAAGTAATGAGCTATCACTTCCAATTTACGTTATAAAAAGTGTGGCTTCCGTCTTGTGTGCGCTTTCTCACTCTCCCTCTCCTTCCCTCCACTCACTTGGTCTTGGTAGAAGCCAGCTCCTGCATCCTGAGGTGGACTTGAGAAGCGGGAAGACCACTGCCATGTCATGAAGATAGCCAAATAGTCTAAAAAAAGGCCCATCCGGTAAGGAACGGGGCTTGGAAACTGGTATTCTGAGGCTTGTCACCATCCTCTTCTCCAGCTGAGCCTAACTGCAGTGCTAGCCGACAGCTTGACTACGACCTCATGAGAGACTAAACCTGAACCACCTAGCAGATTCGACTCACAAACTATGAGACTATAAACATTAAATGTTTATAGTTTCAAATGGCTAAGTTCCAGGTAATTTGTTACACAGCAGTAAATAACTAATACATGTAATTTTGCTAGCTATCGTCAAACTCCCTATCTAGGGGCTACACCATGTTTCTGTCCCACCAGTAATATATGAGAATTCCTGATTCCATGCCTTACTAACACTACATGTTTCCAATTTTTTTTTTTACAAGTTAATAGATGAAAAACAGTACCTTACTGCAGCTTTAATTTTTATTTCTTTCATCATGAGGGAATTCTTCAACTTCTTTTTTAAGGAGCTATTACATAATGATAGCTTCTCATCACTCTTAGGAATTAAGAGCTAAAGTTGTCACAATTCCTATAAGGCTTTGCACAGTCCGGCCCCTTCTCATATCTACTTCGCTCCTTGAGGATTCTGAATTAATCATTACTATACCCTTAGTGCCTTACACAGTGGCTATACTGCCTTAAGCACTGGTCATGTTGTAGATATTGACATATCTCTGGAAGTTTAAACTGAAGTGAGTGATCACAACTGCCCATTTCTTACCCTCTTCTTGACCAAACATAATCAGGCTGTTTTTTCCCCACAGGCCCCTAAACTTTGGCTTGTCCTCAAGTTTAACCACACACTAAAGCAATATGTATATGCAAACATCCTTAACAGCTTATTCTCAGAATCTGAGGACCCCAGAAACATTTCTTGTTGAAGTGCCCTTGGTTTTGCCACTTGCCTACCTCTACCTCTTAAAAGTTCCTGCTAACCCTTCTTAGCCTTTCCTATAAAAGGAAAAGACTTACTCTGTTTGATTTTGAGATACTTGCAGATTTCTGAGATTAGTGTTTTTCCCTACTGCAATAATCTTTCTGAAAAAAATCTCTCCTTATCTAAGTCCAGATTTGTTTTGATTTGACATGAGAAATTAAACTGTTAAGTGTAAAATTGCTGCTCATTTAATTACATAAGCCAAAAATCAGGCTTCTCTGAAAACTGATGCTTCAAAATTTTATCTATGCACACGAAACATCAATTTAACATACTGTTTTAAAAAAAGGGTATAGAAACTTGATATAAGGTCTAAAGGTTATGATATCAGTGATGTTTTATATGATGGTTTATTGGTTCAGTTTTTAACCAGGTGATTTCCCTGAAACCTAATCTCATCACTCTCTTCCTTTTTTTATTTCTTCTACTTTTTAGTCTCCCTTTCCCTGTCTCAGTCTCCTTCTCCCTGTCTGAGCCTCCCTTGTTCTGTCCCTTAGCTTCCTACCTCCGTTCCTGTGCCTCCCATTTTTTGCTCTTCAATCTCTCATCTCTGCCTACACCGGCCTCTCCTTTGCTCTCATTGTCTTTCTGCTTTTTCCTAGTCTCCGATTCTCCTCGCAATTCCCTTTTTTCTTTCAGTCGGCCTTTGCAACTTCTTGCTACAGTAATAATTTCCCCTAGAGAATTCCTTATAATTGTTTTTAGCATAAAGTTCATTATTTCTGTGTATCCCTTTCTCCGTCACCCAGTGAACGCTTCCATCACTTCAGGCCCCCAGTCCTGCTTTCACCCCTCTCAGCAAGTAGAATCTCCCAGTATAAAGCTGTACCATTTACAAACACTTTTAAGAAGAGTCGTCAATAAGAATATTTTACTATCCCCAATTTTTTCCTCTGTCACCAAAGGCAGTCTTCTAAAAGAGGCTGTATCACTAAAACTTCTTCCCCAATGCTTCTGTAAAATCTCTCAGCAAAGTTTGCACCTTACTTGTTTGTAAAATCCTTTCCATCACCTTCCCTCTTCTCGCTGCTGGTGGCACATCCCAATTCCTGGCTCTGAATAAAAAGAATTCCTCCAAGTGTACGGAACTGCCTGAACTCTCAAGATGGCGGCTCCCATTTAGACCCAGTGCCTGGGAGCGGCCATATTGCCTCCTGAACAAAGCCGCCAGGGAGGCGAGGTGGGCAAAACCGCTCCGTACGGAATAGCGTAGGCTCGGAAGCGCCACACTTTGCTCACCCAGACAGGAACCAGGAGAGTTCGCCAATGTGGATGTGACAGCGGTCCGGGGTTAAGCCTTGACCGGCGTTTAGGGACCTGATAACGGAGCTGCAGGTCAGAAAGCAGATAAGTGCAGTGATGAGTCTATTGGATTGGTAATGGGGGGAAAGGTCCGTGAGGGTCAGTGATTGGAGGTTTATGAAGTCACTTTTGGGAAAGGAATATGGGATTGGTGTTGGGTTTATCTGGGAGTGAGGGATGGTGTGAGCTATGAGGTTAGTAACTGGGGAACGTTGTGTCAGTGTTAAGGTTGTCTGTGATCAGAGATGGCGTGTAAGGAGACTGACTCGTGGGGATGATTGGGGTCGGTGATTTTTAGTGATTGGTGAGGGTACTGTGGACAAAATGGGTGGGGGTGTACATGTAGTAGTCAGTCATGTGATAGGCATAGGGAAGTTCTGTGGAGTGTGTGATTGCTAGGTCCTGAGCTTTCAGAGATTTGGAATGAGCAATAGTGGGATTGGGGCGTTTTGATGATTAGCCTCAGTTTACTGGGAAAGGTTTTTACATAAATTAAAATTTCCACAGATCATAGGCAACTGTTGAGTTCTTAAAGACTAAACCCCATCTCAGTACATCATTGTGCCCTTAGCCTGGTGCACCCCACAGGAATGATTATTTTAGAAAAAAAAAAGTACAGCTCATGTAGGAATGCTACGTTTTCTAGGCTTTGACATTTTCACCCAACAAACTACTCAAAAACAATGCTATAAATAGAATGATGTCATTTGTTCCCAAAGACTATCGCTGTCCTAGAGCGATGTGAAAATAGTAATAAAAGCTAGATATTTTGTGGCAAACTTTGGGGGTAAGGTTACGGCTGTAATCTGCAAGTTATCTTGAGGCAAACAGGAAAAGGGTTAAAACAAGACCAAACAAATTTAAAAGGATAGTATTATTAAAAGGATTTATTATTAATGAAAGGTTTAAAACAAGATGAAACAAATTGAAAAGGATATGATTTTAGTCCTATCCCTTTCTAGTTTATTTAAATCATTTTATATTCAAGAAATAGTTATTGAGCAGCTGCTGACTACCCAGAGATTAGTATGATTATTTCTCCTGATTGTTTCTTCTTAGATCTATTTTGATAAAATCTCCCTGTCATGAGAGTGCTCACTTACCCTCAACCAGTTCAGCTCTGTCTGCATGGCTCCTCCTGAAACAGAAAAATTCACTAGCTATGTACTTTCCTGCATCAAGATGTATACTTTTGTCAGTGGTTCCAACCTATCACTATTTTTATATGCAGATAACTGCACTGTCGAAAATCAGCAATAAAAATTTAAACAGAAAACATCTTAAAATTAACATTTTGGTTCATGAATATTGATTGGCAGGAGAGTTTGCTAAGTTGAGGGAAAATAAAAGAGAGTATTGGAACTGAGCTGCGGGAATAAGGGAATGCATTCCTCAGCTTTCCATGTGGTCATTGCCATTCTTATTGCCAGGGAACTCTACCTGCAGTTAAATCTCATATAGATCTTTCCATGTTTGTTGCCTTATGAAAACATTTTACGAATGTAACTGCTTGTTCATAAAGGGGAAAAATAAGTGGTTAGTAAATCAACATGAAGCATACAGTTAAAAAAACCTTGTCTAAGATCTATGTGATCACAGTATAATCACAAGAGGACTTCCTCTTTCACATGGTGCCTGCCCACCCTTCTATGAAGACCAAACAACTTTCTCTGGTCATGCATTCCACTTCTGGTGGTAGTTGTTTCCAGACTGGTGAATCCGGAAGCGGCTATCTGGGTCTGGTCAGTGAAAACATCCTTCTGATCATCAATTTTCCTTTATCAGGCATCTGTCCTTCTAGATGAGAGCAGAAAATGATGAAGTCCCAGGTGAGTTGCTTTTATTTTTAATTTTTAATTTTTTAAATTTCCTCCTTGGTTTTCCATAGAATCAAATGGAAACGTAAAAAGAGCTAAAATCTAGATTAGGGAAAAGGTAACCAAAATAAATATCAAGACCTAGAAAGAGTTCCTAGGTAAATGTAGATAACCTGGCCTTAAACCATTTTTAAATATTGATATACCAATTTTTCTGATCTTTCTTACAGACATCATCAGTTACATGATATGCAGTCCTCTAAAGAGAAAGCAGGTTAATTTCTCATGGGAAGAAATGGTTTCTTGCCATGTAAGACTAAAATTTCCTTTTTGGATCTTTCTCTAGGTGACGGGATACACAGTGTTCTCACCAACACTCCTGTGGTAAATGCAAAAGATTTCTTATAGCTGTGTCATAAAATGATGACTTCTAGAGGGGCGATATCAGTGTCATAGCCAAACTCCTTGAACTTTATCCTTTTGCGCTGGGGTTATCAAACTATTACCTGTGGGCCAAATCCAACTATTTTATAAGCAAAGTTTTATTGACAGCACAGCCATGCTGTTTTTGTGTATTGGCTATAGCTGTTTTGATGCTACAATGGCAGAGTTGGGTTACTGAAAAAGTTTGTTGACCCCTGCTTTAGAGGACCAAATTGATTATGGAGGCTTCCTGTCATCCAGCTTTAATCCACCAATAAAATCTAGATAACATAGGATGTGTACATTTTGAATGGTCTTCCAAAATACATATTTCAAATGGCAGATCTTAAATTATAATTTATCTGGCAAACTCTGGAGAGCAGGAGTCCCTGATGCTTTGTATCTTTTGCTGTGGTTTTGTGAGTTTGTAGGATTACTGTCCAACTCAGGACCTGTTCCATCTTTGCTCTTTCATTTTTAACAGTCTATTATATTTTTCTTCCTATCAATATTTACTATATACATAGTATAAAAATTTTAAACTATATGGAAAGATAAAAATTAAAAGCTGAGAGACCTTTCAACTTTAAACTGCCCTCCTCTTGAGGTTATTGGTGTTAACCATTTGTTTTTAACTTTCTAAACCTTTTACTATGTAACTGCAAGTAAGTCTGTATATGTGAAAGTACAAACGTGTGAGAATGTCTCTTATTTTCATGTGCCTTCCTTTTGGAAAAATAATGTTACAGTAAACATTCTGTTCTGCAACTTGGTTTTTAACTTTACTGTCTAATGTAAAGATTTTTGTATACATTTTTAATATGTTCCCATCCCAATACATAGAATTATTCTTTATTATTTTAGTAGATGTATACTATTTCCTGTGGCCTGGTTGACTGGGATTTTTTTTCATCTGTAAAATGGAAATTATAATCCTCATAGGGTTGTTGTGAGAATTGAGTAAAAAATCATGCCTTGAACTGTAACTGGGGCTGGTTCTATTTTTAAGTGTTAGCTGTTATTACTATTGTTAAAAACTGAGTTCTCTTGTGAAAGGATAGGTTTTTTTCCTTCTCAGATGTTAGTATCTTTAGAGCTGTGCTGTCTAATACAGAGCCACCAGCCACATGGGCTTACTGAGCACTTGAAATTGGCTAGTCTCAATGAAATGTGCTCTGGACATTTCAGTAAAATACGTACTGGATTTCAAAGATTTAATTTTAAAAATTCACTAATAATTTTTAAAGGTTGATTACATGTTAGAATAATATTTTTGATATCTTGGGATAAATATATATTATTGAAAATAATTTTTTGAAAGTAGCTAGTGTAACATTCCACTTCCACCACCCCCATCTCTTTCATTCCCACAGTTATCCAAGCTGTAAAACTTGTCTGTAGAAGGCAAAAATACAATTTCCCACTGATTATGCATATTTTTTTCAAAAGTAACAAGATTTATACATATTTGGTGTATCGAAGCATTCAAATATCATTAATAAAGCAAAACAAGAATGTTAGAATTATTTCTATTCATTTTTCTATCAGAATGGATTTTCTCTGTATTCTACATTGATTATCTTTTTCATATTCCTGTCCTTCAGATCAAAAAATATATAATTGACTAATGCACAAAACTGTTTTTAACTTAACATGAACTTTATTTTATTCTCTATAATCTTCACTCATTCCTTTTTAGCAAACATTTCTTGAGTAAATGATGTGGAAACCAACAATGACACATTAAAGTTCTATAATAGGTATGAGAGCAGGGAACTGTTTCAGCAGAGATGGGGAACAACCAGCTTTATAAGGCACTTGGGGACAGGCTTGAAAGATTATTGAACTTCGGATCATGAAGGAATGAGAGTGGGAATGGGAAACAGCATTTGCAGAAGTTGAAAGAGCAGAGTGATTCTAGAAAGGCTGAGAATTAGAGGAAAACTAAAATGGAGGGTGTTTAATGGAAAGTTTTTACTAAAGATGGTGTTAAACTAATAAAATATAAACTATTTTGTTTATAATATCAAGGACACAGTGTGGAGCACAATGGTTGAGAACACAAGCGATCGAAACAGAACACTTGCATTTAAATCTGAGTTAATCATATATTCACTGTGTAACCTCTGGCAAGTAGTTAGTTAAGCACTATAATCCTCAGTTTTCTCAAACATTAAATGGAAAAGTTAATGGTGTTGGTACAAGGACAAACTAAATTCTTGGCAGCTTGATGGTGTGAATATGGGACTTGGTGTGGGATGAGAAAGACCATAAGATTGAGATGAGACTATTTATATATGCAAAGGTGAGTCTAAAGGATGCTTTTAAGAAGGGGACTGTTGATATTCGAACGAATATTTAATTTGTTTTCATTCTTAAAGCAATATTTGATGATAGTGGAATATTTAGAGAAAACCCTGAAAAAATAGTTTAAAATAATACAGACCACTCAGATTCCACTATTAGATGACAATTATTGTGAACATAATGGTGACATAATTAAAATAGTTCATTTTTCCTCCAGAAATACCTCAGGGCTCTACACTTACCTAAGTCCTTTATTTTAATGCCATGTCAATAATTTGTTGTTGTTGTTTTTTTCATGAATGTTTCCTGCACAATTTTTGTTAAGTTTGTTCTTCGGTATTTCTATTGTCATTGATCTATTTCATTTTATTACTAGCTATTGCATATATATAGGAGAACTGTTAGATTTAGGAGAAACTAAGATTATTGTCCTACAAAATGAGGGGATTGATTATCTTCAAGAACTCTGGCATTCTGTAATTCTCTAAATGTAACTTTTCTCTCTTTTTTAATATTATACTTAAAAAAGCCTTCTCTATAATTATTAATATAAATTCTTCCGTGCTTTGTTTTGTTAACTTTTATGGTTTGAGGTATTTTTTTTAGAGTTTAAATTTTTGCTTCATCCAGAATATATTTTTTCTATTTTTCAAGACATAAGATATGCCATAGCAAAGTACAGCAAACTGTACTTTGGATTAAACAACAGAAATTTATTCTTGCAGTTCTGGAGGCTAGAAGTTAAAACTCAAGGTGTCAGTAGGGTTGGTTCCTTCTAAAGGCTGTGAGGGAAGGATCTATTCCAGGACTTTCTCCTTGGTTTGTAGACATCTTCTCCCGATGTCTCTTCATAGCATTTTTCCATCTATGTCTGTCTCTCTCTCTGTTCAGATTTCTTCTTTTGATATGGACATCAGTCATATTGGATTAGGGTCCACCCTAACGACCTCATATAACTAATTATATCTGCAATGATTTTATTTCCATATAAGGTAACATTCTGAGGCATTGGGGGTTGAGATTTCAGCATATGAATTTTCAGGGGACACTATTCATCTTATAACATATGGATTCAACATTATTCTTTCCTCATTGACTATCCAGTTATTTCAGTACTAGTCATTGAGTAATCCATCTTCCTACTAGGTATTTGAATGCTACCCTTATCATTTATTAAGTTACCATTTGTATATAGATAGGAATTTTATGATTTACCTCTTATGTTTTCCTTATCTCTCTGACTCTTCTTGCTAAAGACAGACTTTTACATTGTTTCTCCCAAATACCATGACACAAAACTAGGTGTAGGTATAGTTTTATATACTATAGTATAAATTATGAGAGTGATCATTTCAGATTGAACAGGAATATACTGTTACAGGGGTTAGTATCATTCAAGGATGTGGCTGTGGATTTCACCCAGGAGGAGTGGCAACAGCTGGACCCTGCTCAAAGGACCCTTTACAGGGATGTGATGCTGGAGAACTTCAGCCACCTGGTCTCAATGGGTAAGCATGGCTTCCCTGTGTAAGTTAGACTTGTACAGTGAGGTGCCTTTCCTTGTCAGTTGCTGTGGTTAGGTGGTTCCTGACATATATAATGATTTTTATGATCTTCCGAAATGGAGGCCATTACTTTGCCGAGTGCCAGCTAGACTGCTTCATGGTAGACTTAAACTGCACCTTCTCCTCTTCCTTCAGTGCAGTCCATTCCAATTCTTCTGTGATTTCCATTTAATAGGGCATCCAGTTTCCAAACCAGATGTCATCTCCAAGTTGGAACAAGGAGAAGATCCATGGATCATAAAAAGAAACATATCAAATTGGATCTATCCAGGTGAAAATCAGTGAAATATCAGTGTTATTTGTTTAGTTTTTTTTTTTAATTGTTGCCTAAGGCTTATGTTTCTATGCTCATTGAACTCTTTTATTCTTTGCTCTCATGCTGAGGATTTAATAAGCATACATCAAAAAATCAAGTAATTGTGAGTCTTTATAGGGCAGAGCTGTTACTGATCCTCACTCACTATTCTATATAATGCCTTTTATGAAGAGCCTTAATAGACAGTAGAAGGCAATTTTTTTCCAAGAACATAGGTTGTGCTTTAGCAGGTAAGACTTTCAGATACATAGCTGTACAAAATTAAACGTCAAATACAATGACTGTTTTTAAAAGTGTAGAGAAAATTAGAATCTGAAGAGATGCAACAGAATTTGAGAAGGCTTTTTTTCAGAGCATGCAGTGGTAGCTGCTCTGAAAGATATGTTAAGTATTGATGATGCCAAAGGAGGAAGGTGAAGTCAAACGGGTGGTGGTGGGGGGGCAGTATATGAAGAAAACCTTGGAGTTAGGGAAATATGGCTCTTCTGGGAAAACTTTACTAATTTTATTTGATACATATTGAAGATATTTATGGAGAATCATGGATTCCTGCTTGGAATTCAATCTTGGATTCTTGGTGTAAATCTGATACTGAATTCATAACAGGTTCTTGGATTTTTCTGTTGTTTGTGTTAGTTGTTAATTGAGAAAATAGACTGAGGAGCATTAAAATATTCTGAGTGCTGAAGAGACCTTGTTTCTTTGAATGGTAGTGGTAGGACAGTAGTTGTTAATGCATACATACACACATATACATATATACATACATGTGTGTATATATATGTATATGTGTACATATATATACACATACGTTACATATACATATACATATGGCAAATGGTTTATAAAATAAATGAATTCAAAAGGTGAAAAGCGTTTCTATTCAGAAAGCAAGGGAAATGGGAAGATTCTAGAGAAGTAATCCCAGATTAGAGTGACAATAACCCAGACACTTGTCTATCTCCTTCAGGTCTAGTTATCCATGAATATTTCTCTTTAACATCCTTATCTCTCCTTTCACGCGATCCTACTATATGCTGTACTGTCTTAGTACAAGCAAGATGGCTTGTTCTTCACCTATGTTTTCTGAGTTCATCAACTATGTTGGATCAATTGTTTGTTCCACTCTTCTGCATTCTGTTAGTTGTTTTTTATGGTTGTTTTATTTTATTTTTCTTTCCTTTAGACAGGAAGAGTAACCTTGACAATCCTCAATCATGTATTTTGGGATCTTTTTCCATCCATAATAAGACACTGAAAGGAATCACAAAGGATGATTCATTGTACTCCATTTTAAAAATCTGTCAAGGTGATGGCCAGCTACAGAGATGTCCGGAAAACCAAGACAGAATTTTCAGTCAAGTAACAGTTATCAACAACAAAACAGTGACTGTGGAGTCGGGCCATAAATATAATACATTGGGAAAAATATTTCAAGAGTACATAGAGCCAGGTACTTCAAGACAAAGCCCCCATAACTATGATATATTTCAAAAGTATTTGAAATCTAATATTGACCTATCTAGTTGTAATAAGATCAATTCAAGAAAACCCCCTGATGAGAATTTTGGATATGGAAAATCATCTAGTCAAGATGCATCTAATTCTAATCTTGAGAAAATTCAAAATGGATTAATACCCTGTGATGATAATCAGTGTGGAAACATTTTCATCCACAAGCAATCCCTTATTCAGTATCAGAATGCTGAAACTAAAGAGAAAACCTGTATATGTATTACATGTGGAAAAGCCTTTGCTAAGAAGTCACAACTTATTGTACACCAACGAATTCATACTGGAAAGAAACCATATGATTGTGGTGCGTGTGGGAAAGCCTTTAGTGAGAAGTTTCATCTCATTGTACATCAGAGAACTCATACTGGGGAGAAACCTTATGAATGTTCTGAATGTGGGAAAGCATTCTCTCAAAAGTCATCCCTCATTATACATCAGAGAGTTCACACTGGGGAAAAACCATATGAATGTAGTGACTGTGGGAAAGCTTTCTCCCAGAAGTCACCCCTCATTATACATCAGAGAATTCACACTGGAGAGAAACCTTATGAATGCAGAGAGTGTGGGAAGGCCTTCTCCCAGAAGTCACAGCTGATTATACACCATAGAGCTCATACTGGGGAAAAGCCATATGAGTGTACCGAATGTGGAAAAGCCTTCTGTGAGAAGTCCCACCTCATTATACATAAAAGAATTCACACTGGAGAGAAACCCTACAAATGTGCTCAATGTGAGGAAGCCTTTAGCAGGAAGACAGAACTTATTACACATCAGTTAATTCATACTGGGGAGAAACCTTATGAATGTACTGAATGTGGGAAGACCTTCTCCCGGAAGTCACAGCTCATCATACATCAGAGAACACATACTGGAGAGAAACCCTATAAATGCAGTGAATGTGGAAAGGCCTTCTGTCAGAAATCACATCTCATTGGACATCAGAGAATTCACACAGGAGAAAAGCCTTATATATGTACCGAATGTGGGAAAGCCTTCTCTCAAAAGTCTCACCTCCCAGGACATCAGCGAATTCATACAGGAGAGAAACCTTATATATGTGCTGAATGTGGGAAAGCCTTTTCCCAGAAGTCAGACCTTGTTTTGCATCAGAGAATTCATACTGGGGAAAGACCCTATCGATGTGGTACATGTGGAAAAGCCTTCATTCAGAAGTCACAACTCACCGTGCACCAGAGAATTCATAATAATAGTAAAACTGTAATGAACTGAACACAAGAAAGCCTTCAGTATTAGCTCAAGCCTTAACAAATACTGGAACTCTGATGAATTCGATAAGTTTGTGGAAGATATCATTATAGATACAATTTTACAGGAGAATTCATATCTGTAGTGTGATGATACCTAACTCAGCAAAGGTGATGGAAATTATGTAAATGAAGGACATTTTCAAAATGGCATGTAAAGCTTTTAAAGGTACAAACTGAGTGATCAGTAAAACAAATTATGTATCAGAATGTTGTCAAGTTACATATTCCTCATTATGCCACATAACAATAACCAGACATTGTGAAATTGCTAATATTAGCTTATCATAATTTCGGCCATATGGCAATTCTCTATAAAAGACATGAAGAAAGGTCGAGTAAAAAAAAAGTCAATTCCTGGAAACTGCATTATATGGAGGGACTTAGCTTGACTCCTAAAGGTATATATCTAATATTCATGTACAAAGATGGAAAGATGGGTTAATCAAATTCAATAAAGGTCATGTTTGTGTGCTTTCCCATCTCAAGTATATAAGTTGACCTGTATTTCTGGAAGTATCCTGGACCTTGAAATAGATGCTTCCTGACCAGGTCTCCCCTTTACTTTCCCTCCCTGGGAATTTGGAATAGTGGAAAGACTTTGGTTCTGAACCAGATGGTCTTGGATTTACATACTGGCTCAACTACTCAGATCGTGTGACTTCGGGCAAGCTTGCTTCACCTGTCTGAATATTTTTTCTTATTGATAAATAAAAGTACAGCGTAGGACATATTTTTAATTAATATTAGTTCTTTTTAACCTTTCTTTTCTATTCTACTACAACAGGATGCTAAGATTAATGTGTAAAAGACACATCTGAACTGCTTTGTACTCCAGACACTCTTGCTTTTGATCTCCCATTCCAATGACTGGTTCATTTTACTGTCTTTGATCCTGGTGGCCTTGATTCTTGGTATGTTAAAGTGACATTTTATTATACTTTTATTATGTTTTACATACACTTATATAAATTGTGGCGAATGCACATAAAGACCCTGTCTGTCTCTTCAGTTCCTTTCTGACACCTGCCCTGCAGCCCCAACAGTTTTCCTTGGGAACTGAGGACACAGGAAAACTCTTGAGGTGAGAAATCATGCCTGTCATAGATTTGAGAATTTGATATCTCTAAAATATCTCCTGCCTTCCTTCCTCTGTTTCTACCTGTTCCTCTATGAGCAGGTTTAGATGAGGACCTATGCTGGAGGTGCCTTGCAGGAGAGCATACCTGGCAAGTTGTCCATATGGATAAATGTAGTTTACCCTTGTTCACGTTCTCACTTGATTCCTTCACATTTCCCACTCACCTGATTCCCTTCTTGCATGGCTGATCTATTGTGAAAATATGGGGCCCCTCTAGGTGAGAACCTCTGCAGGGGAGAGGGCACACCTGACAGAGATGTGGGAACCTGTGTGAGCAAGTTCCTGGTCTCATTATGAACAGTGAGCTGAGACCACTAATATTAAATATAATTCACCATTTAGAACTGGAGAAGGCCTAGGGGTACATTTCATGGGTTAGGCTACTCTGAGGGTTCCTTATGGAAGATGTCTCAATCAGCCCTTATGAAGGTTTGAGAAGGACAAGAGATTGTATTGGGAACACAGAAATTTAATGAAGAGGGAATTCTATGTAGTGACAGCTCTGGAACTTACGTGGATATAACAGAGATCCACAATTCCCACCTTACAGGCCTCCATTTGATCTTTTCCACTGTCACAGTCCCCAGGCAACCTTGTGGGTTTCTATAAAAATCCCACTTCGCAATTAGCATCTACTGGTTTAACACTTCATTTTCTTCAGCATCTTGCTGGAGGAGCCAGCCAGTGCAATGGGGCAAGAGAAAGAAATAATAGGCATAAGGATTGGAAAGGAAAAAGTAAAATAGACATTATTTGCAGATGATACAATTGTGTATAAAATATATATACTGATTAGGTATTAGAAATAAAGATTAGTTGCTTTATGCAACTTTAATATTAAAAATATTAAATATAGAACAATAATTCTGCAGACCAGCAACAGAGTGAAATTTTAAAGATACCACTTGAAATCTAATCACAAAGTGCAGGACCTCTACATAGAAATAACAACTAAATGCAGTCTGAGATCCTGGATAGGATCTTGGAACAGAAGAATGCCTATAAAAAAGTTTTTAAAAACAGTTTTAGTGGAAAACTGATGAAATTCAAATATAAATTTTATATTAGTTAATATTGAACTGTTAATTTTCTGGTCTTGTAATTGCACTACGGTTATGTGAGATGAGGGAAAGTTGGGTGAGGGATATCACAACTTTTCTATAAGTCTAAAATATATTAGTTCTTTTTTTAAAAAAATAGAATACCCATTTTTGCTTATACTAGGAATTAAAAGAAATTATTCCCAATATCTGACAAGGAGCACAAGTTATGTAGTCAGAAAGACAGCTTGAATCCTAGCTCTGGTGACATATGCAGGTCATTCCAGTCCTCTGAGTCTCCATTTTCTTCATTTGTAAAACTGAGATAACAATACCTTAATCATAAAATTGTTAAGAGCATTAGACATGCATGTAAAGTGCCAAGTGCAGCACCTGGCATAGAGTAGGTAAAGAGTAAGACTAAATTTTTCTTCCCTCAGGAGATATTATTTTACTACACAATTGAGTTAATCTAGTACACTATGGAGATCATAGTCCAGAGAGGAAGACAGATCATTTTAATATTACACAATTGCTTTCTCATGTAATGTACTTACATGAGAAATGTACTTATGGTACTTATCAATGTACCTTGCACTATTCATGATTTAACATTTGTGACCCTCATGAGCAGGTGAAGAAAAAGAATTACTACAGTTCATCAGTAAACATCCTAATACCCCTTTATTTTATAAACTTTTGTTCATATATCTGAAGAATCAATTCCTAGAATTGAAACTGCTGGGCAAGGAGTATGCACATTTTACATTTGGATAGCTACTAACAAATTTTTCATGTGTACACAGCCATGTTGCACTGCCTCTGACATACAAAATCAATGCAGGACGGTCATGGGGATACAGACAGATCATGGTCAAAAACAAAGTGCTTTCTCATAGTTGAACACAACTCACATCAACTCAGACTGCCTGGGTTGGAGTAATATGTTTTCAAGAATAGATTTAGTGGTCAAGATTCTGTAAAGGGTGTTACAACACTGGGTATGAAATTAGAGAAGCTGACATCTAAGGAATCTCTGAAATTCAGAATTAGGAAAACCTCCCAAATGAAGCTCATTTGGCTCTGAGCCCTTCCAAACATGATGTGTTTTGCAGATGAGCCCCAGAGAGCACCAAAAACTTTGCAGGACCAGCTTCTGGTTCCTCTCCTAAAGCACCCTGGCCCCGCCTTCTAGAGTTTTTGCTAAGTCTTACCTCTGGACTCTGCTTCTTTTCTACCTCAAAGACAGGTAAAGCTATTGTGCCCTGAGCTGAAATGACTGGAGTACTGTTGTATCCCTCCATTGGTTATCTCAGGAGGTAAATGAGGTTTTCCCAATAAATCAAAAGACATTCTCTTGCATCTGAAGAGGGACACAGCTGAAGGTCAAAAGAGCAGCCAGTGACAAAGCTTGATATCAGATGGAGGTGGCCGACTGTGCAGGTGTTTGGTCATGATTCTGAAGCTCTATGGAGAAGCTGGGCTGGTGGTAGAGTTGGGAAGTCCTCAGCACAGTGGTAGATGAAACCAAGAGATGGAGATTTCAGAAATAAGGGAGAAGAAACAACTGAGGAAAGAAACATCTCATGGTCAAGGAAACGTGATGGAAACCAGGAGAGTGTGTTATCATGGGTGCCAAGAAGGAGTTTCAAGAAGTAGGAAGTGATTGGTCACATCAAACAGCAGAAAAGTTCTGATTATATAAAAGCTGAAAAATGGCTCAATTTGGGCAATGCTAAAATCACAGAGACCCTAGGCTAATATCACACAGCAGCAGCCAGATTCAGCCCAATTTAATCAAATGGCTCATATTCTAACATTCCTCCTCAGGTGCTCGGCCATAGTCATTTTCATGTGTCCCACCTTTCAATGTTTAAACCATTTATTTTTATATGGAGCTCTGGCTGACTCAAATTATGGATACACAGTGGGTAATTTTCTATATTTTTCACTCAGTGCCCTTTCTATTTGCTACTGTCATCTCAGAGTCAGCCCAGGCCAATGAAGGGGTAGGTACTGGCATCCACAAGTGAAAATGGGTTATTTCACTGGGATTTACATCTCAGGGTTTGGGACCATCTTTTCCTTTCATCTCTAGATAAGGCCAATGCCCATCTTGGCATCTTGAAGTAATGCTTATGTTACTGGTGTAGTGTCCCTGCCATCACCCCTTTGCTCAGCTTAGGTCCTGGTGTCTTTATGACACTTATGCACAAACTGATGAGTATCTATTGTGTTCAAAGGTTTTGATGGCTCTATCTTGGAACACAGCTGTGTATAAGAAAAGGGGACACTCTATTGCACAAAGTGCCCAGTGAAGTGGGATGACCTGGAATACAGAACACAGAGGGAAAGTGAGGTCTAAAGAGGACCTTATTCTCTGATACAGGAGGAAAGAATGGTGTCTTAGTCCATTCAGACTGCTGTAACAAATTACGGAGGCTGGGTGGCTTGTTAGAAACAAATTTATTTCTCACATTTCTGAAGGCTGAAAGTAAAGTCCAAGATCAGAGTACCAACATGGTCCAGTCCTGGTAAGAACCCTCTTCTGGGTTGCAGACTGCTGACTTCTCTGTCCTCACATGGTGGAGAGGAGAGTTCTTTGGGTATCTTCTATAAAGGACTGCTCCCATTTATGAGGGCTCTTCCCTCATGACCTATTCACCTCCCAAAGGCCCCGCCTCCTAACATCATTACCTTGAGGGTTAGGATTTCAACATATGAATTTTGAGGGGCCATCGCAGATGGTGTGGGCAGAAACAATTTGGAGGTACAAGGGAGGAAGCATTCGGCTAATGCCTCCCATTTGTTCTGACAACAGGATCTTAACATGAGGTCTATTGGGCTCTTGGGAGTCTGCAGATAGAATTCAGGGAGTTCAGAGATTTAAATTGGGGGAGGGGTTACATATTTTTTATATATAAATTTAAAAAATTCATTTAGAAAGCTTTTACTCAATGTCTGCTATGTGCCAGTCACAGTCCTATTTAGAAATAGTAATTTATTTGGTTTTTGAAACAAGTCCATGAGGTGGATCACTATTGTCATTCCTTCACAAAGTTTATCTTAAATATCTTTAGAATGCAAACTAATTTTAGAGAGCATCTCTAAAATATTCTATAATAGGTATATTAATAGCTACATTAATGTAATACATTGTATTAAGATATATAATATAATGTGTAATATCTTATATATAATATAATTACATATTGTTATATAAAAAGATTTAATGTGAAGTTATATATTATATATACTATTTATATGAAATAATATTTATTTGATAAATATTCATTTCCTTTAATGTGCAAAATGTCCTCACTCCCTCCCTAAGGGATTCAGCCAAATTTTCTGTCATTTGTCCTAAAGCTCAAAGTTCAGGGTCTCGTGATAGTTTCTGTATAAATTTGAGATGTGCCTGCTGTTAATTCAGAGACATATGAGTTAAAACTCACACACACTTAACATTTGATGAAGGAACAGGGGCAGGATAACCACTGTGAACAGTCCTACTTGGAAAAAGAAAGATTGGAAGGTTGCAGTAACCTCTGACGTCATTGACCACTATCGAACAACTCCTGGTGGTCTCCTCATTTAGTCTTCTTTTGATTCTGATCTGGCCCCATGATCTGCATTAAACAATAGAATGTGGCACAAGCAGTGTTATGTTATCCCTGACGTACCACTAAAAAGAACATAACCACTTCCAATTTTGCACTCTTAAGGTCCAGCCTCCATAGAAGTCTGATTATTCTGAGACCAGCAGACTTTTAAGGAAGCCTAAGTGAGCCACTTGAAGATGACACATGAAGGAGGATCTGAGTGCTTTGATTGACAGCCCCACATGAGATCCCAGCCTTCAGTCACCGACTGCCATCATCTTGAACATTCCAAATCATTTGAGTCTCTGGCAAGCCATCTTGGACATTCCAGACCAGTTGAGCTTTCAGGTGACTGCAGCCATAGCTCACCTCATGTAGAGAAAAACTACCCAGGTGAGCCCAACTAATGCAAAGACTCATAAGCCATGGTAATAATTGTTGCTGATTGAAGCCACTAATATGAGGATGACCTGTTAACACAGCAACAGATAACTGAAACAGAAGCATGCAGAGTTCACCGTTCAGAGCAATCTTGAACTTTCTCTTTGTAGATCCTGTGAAAGCCCCTAAGCTGTGGTTGGGGGTATGTCTTGATGAAACATGAGATGTCTTGATACAATCCCTGTGATAGTTGCAAGGGAAGGACTTTTATTGAATGATAAAGATCAGAAGCCAAATACCTCTTATTGGACAAATACAGCTTCTTAGAACACAAGACTCTCATGCTAAGTATAACATTTCTAACTGTAGCATCACATGGCTTAAAGAATATCACCCTGGCTTGATTGAATGCATTATAACCCAAACTAGAAAACCTTTGGCTATTATTGCTGTTAGTTTCTGTAAGTTTATATTATTACCAATCCACACTCTTTTCCCTCTCTACATAACAGACGGCTAGACCGTTTGTTCAGTCAGCAAGCTGAATTGGTAAGTCTGAATGGAAAGCATGCACTCCTTCCAATGCCCAGCAGGTGTCACCTGCTCTTTGGTGCCCAGGTCTCAGAGCTCCCATCACCCAGGCATTCTTATGCCCATGGTAACCACAGGCCAAAGCTTACCTTCGCCCCTGAGGATCCTAAATGGCTGCTTCAGCAGGCACACCCTCACCCAGATTACCTTCTCAGCTCTCAGCCAAACCTTCCCCTGTACAGTTTCTCCTTGGGCCTTAAGAAATATAGCATGCTAGATCACATAAAAACTCTTGGGTCTTAGGTCAAGTTCTCTCTGGGAAGCAGATTCTGAGTTGCACATTGGAGTACAGATGGTTTATTAGGCAGACAGCAGAGAAAGCCGAAGTTGAACTGTGGGGCAATGGCAAGAGAGGTTTCATCTATCCCACGAGGAACACTGGAGCTGGAATGGCCTTACAGGATAGTTTCAGATCAAAGCATGTGGCTTTATACAAGCTGTCAATGTATTCATAAGTCGTAATGAGATGTGTGTGATAAACAGAGGCCAGGTGGTCTTACTATGTACAAAGTTGAAAAGAGTAGGCTGAACACTAGCTATAGTGATTGTCACTAAATGTATGATATAAATATTCAGCTATTTAATAGTTTAAACTTTTTTTTCATTTGGCAATGAACCTTTTCAACAACGATGAACAACAACAACAACAAAAGAGAAACAGAAAAAGCTGAAATTTAATAAAATAATTAATTTTTGTTCCTTTAAAGAGTTAATGTATATGCTTCTTACAGGATACATTTGTTAACATTTTTCACCCACCTTAGGGGTAGCAGTGATATCACTGACCCTACAAAAAACAGAAGACACCGATTAGCTGAAGACGCATCAGCATTGTTTGAAAGTTGGTGAGTATACTAAGACGACTGTGGCCAAAGATGATATATTTACACATGTGGCAGCAGAAGGGGGTTGCCATATCACTTTGTGGCATGTATCCTTACACTTAGGTCTAGTCACTGTTCCTCTAAAATAGATATGCTCTTTTTTTTACTTCAGGTTTTCTTGAGCAAGTTTCTGGTGTTTTGTTTTATTAGAAAAACCTTGCTAAGAGTTTCAATGAGGTCAGTTTGTATCGATGTCATTAGATGTATCAACCAGAAAATTAGTTAATTCTGATAACGTTTGATTCTTTTATTCATTTCACATAGTAAAAGAAATTATTTTGGAATTACATTTCATTGAGAATGAAACAAATTACATAATTGAAAGGATAAATTCAGCTAAAAAGTTTAATAACCTTGAATATAAAATTGTTTTATAACGGTAATGTAAATACAAATATTAGTGTCATGGTTAAAACTATATTTTTACTAAATTAAGAAACCTAAGGAGAAAATTTCAGTTGTAGTGCACATACAAAATTCATATTTTCTAACAAAAAAAAGAGACTCAGTCAAAAAATTTTTTAATGTTTTTAGATATTTGGAATTAAAAGAACTAAAATGTATGTGTGATAGCTGATGTTGAATATGAAAAATAACTCAGCATGGTTGTACACATTTTCAATTGGATTGTTAAAATATCTGAACTTGAAAGAATTAATTTGAAACTGAATCAAAGTGTTCTGCAACATTGTTTTGGTGAGTATAGAGTTTTAGATAGAAATTTTTTTATTTTAACCCTTTAAAATTGTCTTTCTGTTGACCTTCATGGTTTGGAACAAGCGGTTTGCAGTGATTCTTATCTTTGTTCCTCTGTATGTAATTTCTCTTTTTCCTCCGGCTGCTTTAGAACTTCTTTTATTCGCTTATGTAGAATTTTAATATGGTTTTCAACTTGTTTTGAATTTTTTTATTTTTTCTAACTTTATTTTCTTTCTCCCTTTCATTCTCCTCTAAGGCTCCAGTTACACGTGGGACTATTTGATATGTCTCACAGGCCCTAAGACTCTAATCATGCTTTAAATTTGCTTTAAAATTTCATTTCAGTCTTTTATTTTTGAATAATGTCTGTTGCTATGTCTTCAGGTTAACTGATTTTTTTTCTATTCAGAGTTAAATCTGCTACTAGTCCTATTGAGTGAAGTAATTTCAGATATTTTCATCTCTAAAAATTCTATCTGATTCTTCATGTAGTCTATTTACATTTCTCATTATGGTTGTTATTTTTTAAATACTTGAGCATGTACATAATGTTTATAAGAAGTTTTTTAAAGTCTTTGTCTGCTCATTCCATGGTTTTCTTTATTTCTGTTTTTCCTGGTTATCAGTCACCTTTTCTTCTTCTCCTTATTTGTCTACTTATGCCTACTTATTTTAATTGGATGCTGGATCTATGATTTACATTGTTGAGTGCTAGATTTTGTTATATTTCTTTAAAGTTTTGGACTCAACTTTAAAGAGTTTGGACAGGGTATCTGTCGATTCCCATATTTTGTGCAGCTGCCGAGAAATCACCAGGCAGAAAGCTGGAGTAATTTTAGGGCTCGATTTGTTTTCTTTCTCAGGGATCACAGTTCTGTACTGCCTAATACCCAATATCTGAAAATAGCTGTTTTATAAATTTTATTCGGTTTTTTATTTTATGATGAGAGAACCTCTTATGTAGCTATTACTTTTTCATGGATGGAAGTAAAATCCATTCATTGACTTTTTTTTTTTCTTTTCAAAATGTATAAGACTTTGGATCCAAATATAACTAATCCCTACTTTATTATGTTTAATGATGGGAAACTGGTTTTCTCCATTTTCAAAAAAGATCATTCCCCAGAGAACAGGAAATGCTTTGAAATTCTGGCATCTAGTTTAGGTAAAGAGATGTTTTCTGATGGCTATCTCTACCGGGAGGTTGCAGTTCTGGGAAAGTCCATTAGAACTTTGTTTGGACTCAGTTCGCTGGGAAGGAAGGGATGTGTATACTTAGCTGACCATGGTTTCCTGTTTACTGAGCCTCAATAACAACCAGTTTAAGTTCTTTCCAAGTATGCCCTCCTTTCCCTCAGTCCTGTAACTGTAGCGAGGGCTTAGTCTATACTGTGACAGAGCTGACCCATATTTATGCCTTCAATTACATCTGTGGCCAACCTCTTTTTATATTTGTCCCCTAAGATCCTAGATGTTGGAATGGATCTTATTTCACCAACCAACTATAATTGCCACCAATTTCAGCCTCGGACAGCCAGAAAGTCACACTGGTGAACATCATGACCCAGGATAGCTAGAGCATCCATGTGCTGATGACTGGATTTTGAGATCTGTTATTGTTGCTAATACTTAGATAAAAATTTGCTCAAGCAAAACAATATTATATTTCCTACCCATCACACTGAGAGCAGAATTATATTAGTGCCACTTTTTCGCTGTTATTAGAATAGCCTGTGGTATTTTGCAGAACAAAAAAGATATTCAGAAAGTCCTGTCACAGTAATGCTGTTTCCTTCCAAGTGTATGTGGCAGGTGAATCCCTGGGGTAGGAGTCTGTGTAGCTGAGTTCTAGCATGAGACCTGTCATTTCCGCACATGACCACTTACTCTCCTCATATGCAAAGAGAACTAGCTAGGGAAAATGGGATTCTGTATCCTCCTGGTAGGTTTTGCACAATGTCTCTTCATTCCATGCAATTTTCTTGTACCACACCTCCCCTGAGTCATGCTGAGAACCCATGCACTCGTTATATGGGACCACTGAAATGTTGTGTAACCCATCTCTCTGTCTCTAGTTTACTATTCTCATGTGCTTATACTGTCTTTCCAAAAATATTTTTATAAATTCACTCTGAAATCAAATATCTATATCAAAGTGACTTACTGGTTTGTTTCTTAAATTTTATTCCTGCTCAACTGAGTATTCCAGTCAACAAATGCACATCCCAATAACACTGCAGAGGCCTGTGGCAGTATAATAGGAAGTAACACAGCATCTCTTCCTAGTCAGCAGAGAGCATTTTAGTAGGGTTGAACATTTGTATACTGGCCTAAAATGTATAAGTTCCAGGGATTAAATCCTCTAAGAGTATGTTATTTACCATTTCAAGGTGAAATTTGGTGCCTTCCTGATGGAGCTAGGGAAAGGAGCTGACACAGAGAGACTCCATGAGGACACCTCTGTAAAAACAATATTCATTCCTTATTTTGTAACTAAGAATAACATAAAAAGAGGTGGGAAGAAGTCCATACTCTACTATTTTTTTAGAAATACATCTTTATGCAAGTTACTTGACCTTTTAAATTTTCCATTATTAAACAAATATGAGGAAAATAACTAGTACCTAATTCACTTGTGTAATTTAAATAATAAAAGTGAGTGCAAAGAAGTTAGTACATTGCATGGTACATAGTAAGTGCACAATAAATGCTGATATTTATTACTATCTAGCCTTGATATATCAGCAGCAAACACCTTAACATTTACAATAAACAATGAAAGAGCCTTTAGTTCAAAAAACATATCAAAGTCTAATAGCCTTTCCCAAATATTTCCATGTTTACAATCTAAAGCTCAGATTTGGTACTAGCATCTGGACTTCAGTATTAGCTCAGTATGATGATCAATTTGTTTTCTCTCAGGTACTTTCATTGGTTTGCAAAATGTTACTCCAGATGCAGAGTACAGCATTACTCCCCGATTTCACCAAAAATATCAACCACGAATGGTGCTTCTGTGTGTTGTGTGCTTTAAAGATCATGCTGAGATACAGAAAGGTCCAGTCATTACCTTGTAGTCTCCCAAACTGTTGGGCACTGGTTAGCAGGCTGTCCCATCACAATGCCAAATGGAGCATCCTGCCGCCTGTAGCCTTGCCCCCTGCCTAACATTGTGTGCCCTAGTGGCCCCCAACATAGATCAGAGATGGAGACCTGGAAAATGTATACAAAGAAGTGCCTAAACTGAATAACTCTGAGCCCAGGAGAGAGTTAAGAGAGTAGAGGGCCAGAGACACTCTTGTTGGAGCTCAAGGTCTGTCTCATGGATGCTCAGAAGTCTGTCATTGTCTTCCATCAGGAGTCTTGAGAGAAGCCAGGCTCCACAGTGCACAACAGGGTGTCTAGGGAGCAGATGACGATCTTCTGTATGCCAACTCGATCCCCTGCCACTTCCAAAACTGCAACTCATACATGTCCCACAAAAAGAAGGCTATGGTATTGATTCACCCACCCATAACTGGGAAAGAGAGAGTTGACAGCATCTATGTATACTTGATCTTTCTGCATTGCTTACTGTACATAAAACTGGAACATATGGTTTGTAAGGCATGACTGGAGAATGAAAGGTAGTCATGTAAGTTCCCTACTTGTGTGGTTGATGGAATGTGAAAACTAAATCTAAAATGGCTTTCTCAGACTAACTTTTAAATCACATGTATTATACACATTGTAAGCCCTCGTTTCTTAATCTAAAACAAAAGACATCCCACGGTGGAAAAATGACTTTTCTAAGAAGCACTTCTGATGGTTTGGGGCCATTTCAGAGGTGGATGTTGCTGTCTCTGTCCTTGCTTTTTGTATCATTCACCAACCATAGTAAAGTTTGGTGTTTGGTATGGTGTGTGCTTGCTGTAAACCAGCTTTGACAATTCCAGTTTTCACAGAGTAATGACTTAAATCAGAACTGAGCCCTTCAACAAACCTTTGGGATTATAAATCCTGACACTTGGCTTCTCACTATTACCTTCTTTTCTTGACTATTCGTTAAGATCTCCTTTCTTCAAGATTTCTTGTTCTTGCCTTTTTCTGCTACCTTTGATCTATTAAGGTAATCATTCATTCTGACAAAATCATTCACAGAATCATTTTTTCCCCTAAGGTATAGAAGAGATAGACAGTGATTCTATTTGGTTAAGTATACTAAAACCTAGGATCAATTTTTAGGTGTTTATTCTTAATTGAACTCCTGTCCCCTTCTCATTTTACAGGATTTGGAAGTTCCCCATACATCCCCATCAAGAACAGTGATGTCAGCAGGGTCCATATGGTGTTTAAGGATGCAGGGTGGTACCCAGAGCTTGAGGCAAGCTGGAGAGATCCCTAAGGACAGAATTTTAAGTCACATCCTGAAAACAACAGGGCATGTGGAAACTGCCTGTTCTCTGTTGAGTCTTCAGTCCTGGTAACTGAACTAAAAAAGATGGTGCTGTTTGGTTCTCAACGCCAGACTCAACCAGAAGAAGGAAATAACTATTTCTGTTGGCAGGTTAGTTTCTATATTATTACACATCACTGCCTTGAAAAATGTTTTAAAAGCTGTGTTTCTTGTATACTGTTGCATTGCTAATAACAAGGAAAATGATTTTAAGCTCTCGCACTGTACTTTCTAGGCAACCTTCAATATCAAATTGAATTTTACTAATCAAGGCTCCTACTTGGACTAGAGATGCTAGCATATCTTTGCTAAGTGAGATGTGATATGAAATTCAAAAGTTACATTGTTCTTGAACTTACCTTTCTTTGCAGAGTGTGATTTTTAAATAATAAATATAATCATTGTTAACAGTAAATTGACTAGAAGCACAATGAGGTCACAATATTTCCTTTATCCTTAATTAAGAGCTACTTTTATTCATAGTATTTATGCAATAACACAGTAAATATTTGAATTACATTAAAATCATTGAAATGGTTATTTTCAGGGTACCATAAAAGTGATTTGTATTACCTTACTGGCCGGTTTGAAGATTGTGTAGGCGTGTGTGGGGCTGTCAGCCTAGGATGGGCCCAGGCCCGTTAATGTAGACAGGGCCTACAGCAGAGAAGAATTTCAGTGTTAGCAGGAAAAAGATACAGAAAAACAGTAAGATGCTTTAAGGTCAGCATGAACCAGACATCTGGCTCATTTGAGAAATTGCATATATACTGATAGTGCCATTTCCTCTGCTCTCTATAATTTTCTTCTTTGACGGAAATAATATATGGATAATATTGAGTATTATTTTAACTGTGGTCTGCATTTCTGTGGTTGTTTTCATCATCAAGGGGTGAGGAAATCTAAAATTTAGTGGGCTAGGGCAATGTGGTGGCTGTCATTTGAATTTGTCCATTGTTGGGACCTGGTGGAGTAAGATGGTGACTTGGAAGAGTAAGATGGTTTATCTAGAAGAGTTCAGTGATCTATACATGAAAGAGATTGAGGCTTGGGAAGCAGGACTGTGAAGGGTCATTGTCTTGTTGCAAAAATTCACTTGTGAATCTGGTTTTCTCTTGGTACCGAGTGGAGCATTATCCTCAGTCTTTCTGTTGTGGAAAAAATGTTATTCGCCCAACACAATGGATTCTCTCATGGACCCTTATCCTCCAGCCTCCCTTAGTTTGGCTTCAGATAGAAATGATCCAGGGGCCCTTTCCCTTGCTTCTACTGCCCTGCGTAACCTGGTTTTCGTACTGGAGCAGATGACATGTCCAGCAGCGAAATGTGGGATACCACTCACTGTGTGCACTGCAGCGAAAGGGAAACAGACTGTCATAGTTAGAAGAAGGCAAGCATACAGAAACAACTCATTTTCAAATAAGGCGATCGTTTAAAGATCATTTAATTTAAACTTTCTCCAACATTCTCTTGAAGAAGACTATTTCCCCAGATGTTAATGTGGAGAGATTTGGGAAATACTTGATTAAATTAAGTTAATTTTTTAATAGAAACATGGTAATATGAATTATGAATCTCTAAGAGCATTTCATTTTTTGGAAGAATGTTTCAGAAAATATTAAGTTAAAAGTAGATAAATGTCCAAGTTTTATAAAGTAAATACATGGTTTGAAAAAGTAAAAAGGAATGCATTAGAGGTTTTTTTTTAAATCTCAATGGATGATTTTTGTTTCATTCTCCATGTACGTCTAATCTTCTCGATTATCCATAAGAATGTATAGTAGTCTGCAAAAAAAATGTTTAGAAAAAATAGATCCTTTTTCCCAGTCATACTTTCCGTGTATGTCATTTATCATTTAATAAGTTATGGATCCCTCTTTAAGGAAAATGGTGGATCAGCCACAGCCAAACATCATTTCATGGGTGTTTTAAGAAGGCTACATTTCTCTATAAACTCTGACCTCCTTGCTGCGTCCCTGCCTTCTCCTCCCCTTGGGCACCCTCAGTAGGAAGGATCAACTGAGGGTAAAGGGTGAACGGGGAAGAAGAGACACCCCTCACCTTCAGAGAGGCCCGTTTCTCTCCTCCAGTTTGGTCCAGTGTTTTTATCGACCAGCACAGGCCAGGACGTCGCCTTTTTCCGTCCTGGACCGCTTCCCCTGCAGTTGGCATCCATAGCACGGACACCAAAGAATGTTAGCATGGATTGGGGAACTGGATTAATAGTTTTTCTTCCCTGAGAGTGAATAAAGCAATAACAGTCCCTTCACTTGTCACAGAATCATAGAATTATAACGAGAGTCCAAAATTGGGAGGAATTCTAACAATTTTTCATTCCAATAAAATCCTTGAACATAGAAGGCACTCAATTAATGTTGCATTGAATTATATATTGAACCCGGTCTCTCATTTTATAGATGAGAAAACTGAGGTCTAGAGGTGTTCAGAGACCAAGTTAGTCCTAGTGACAGACCTAAGATGGGAACCCTGAACAACTGCCTTCTAGACTTGCACGCCCTTACTCTGCCGTGGTATCTGTCTTAGACAAGGACCGTTCTGAGTTGAAATGCAGTAGTTGTAATATTTGTGTTTGACAACAACTGCCAATTGGGACTCTCTTCTTTCCATGATCTCAGTAAATCTGCCCTCAAGATGCTGCCTCAATTTCCTAATTCCACTTCCTTTTCAGTCCAATATATGGACCCTGCATTTCAAAGTACTGACTCGGCTGGCCAGAGTGACAATTAAAATAAATAAGCGAAGTCATCCTCAGTAGTCATGCAGGGGGACCTGGGTTAGCACTGGCACTCATCATCCGTTCAGAGTGGCTTCATATATTAAATTTGTCTAATGTAGTTAAATAATTCATATTAAGCAAAACATTATATATTTTAGAATAGCTGCGGGGTAAATAGTGACGCAGTTTCCCTATCACACTTCTATATGGAGGAAAAAAATCGACAATATAATGAAAAAAGCCTCAAAACTCTTTAAAAGTTATACCGTTTGTTCTGGGATTGATCCTTTTACCCAAGGCAAAGTTTCTGCTGCCTCTTTCTAAAGCTTGATTTCAGTAATGTTTAGGGCAAACCTCTTTCTCTAGCTTTGCCCTAGTTCTTTGTCTTCAAGTTTGGAGGACATGAGCATCTTCCATGGAGTGGCCTTGCCTGACCCCAAGGCTGGATGTGTCTGGAGAGCTCCAGTTGATTAGAGCATTTATTTCCCCTCCATTCTCTCTTTTCTTCATCATTCTTAAGGGTTCACTGAGCTTCTTAGATCTGTGAGTTTGTACTTTTCATCAACTTTGGGAAATTTCCAGCCATACTTAAAAAAGAAAATTAGCACTCTTTCAATACAATGTACAACAGTTAATCTACAAGCAAGTCAAAGATGGATGGGCGATTCTCATGCATAGAAGGCATTAAATTTGAAAGTAGGAAGAGAAGAGGACTCTGACCCTCTACCCAGACTCCTCTGTGGTGAAGCTGAGGCTGATTTTTCTTTTTCTTTTTCTTTTCCTTTTTTCTTTTCTTTTTTCTTTTTCTTTTTTCTTTTTTTATGGAAGGAACAGCTGTGTCCCTGCCTCCTGGACTGCTCTGGCCTTTTTTCTTTCTTTTTCACCCCTAGTGGTTCCATGGCCAGCTAAGGACCAGCAGAAGGATGGTGTTAGGTTCGCTTTGTCCTCTTCAGTGATGGGAATGCCTTTTGTTGGGAGTTCTGTCATTTTCCTTTCTTTCCCTCTAGGCTTCGGCATTGGTTTGGGAGACATTCAGGCTTCCATCCTGTTTAATCGCGCAGCTTTCCCTTTGCAGGCTGAGATGAGGAGCTCCCACTACAGGAACGTTAGCTGTTCTAGAGACAGGCTTGCTAGACGTATTTGCTCCTCTGAGCGCCATACACATGCTGTTCTCTGGGGAAAGACTGGCAGCTCCCAGATGTCTGCCAACATGCTGGAATTGTCCTCTGAGGACAAGGGGATGCTTGCAGCACTTGCTACAACCATGTTAAGACTTCACCTCATAGGTGGAGACATGTCAGAAGCACCTGCCCTGCTCAGGCTGGCTCTTCCTCCAGGATCCGTGAAAGCTGCTTCTGCCAGTGGTGCGTTGATCTGTCCTGAGTATGAAAACTTGGTGAATGCCATGTCCGTCGCACCTGCTGTGACTTCTGTTGTTATCTCTGCCACCTTTGCCCCTGCTTCTGCCTCTTTGTCTGGCATCGTGGGTTCCGTGATTGCAAGGGGAGTATGTGTTTCCATAAATACAGTATGTCTAGGAAGACTGTTGGATTTCTCCTCACACCCTCCCCGCCACCAACTCTCCAAGCATAACCAGAAGAGATGACCTTAAATATCTCAGGGATGATGTGAAGTCTCCTGATTCTGACCTCATCTTGGTGTCCTTCTCCATGGATATTCATGACCTGTGCGGAGTGGAAAAGAAACAAATAGAGAACAAAATAAGTGAGACCAGAAAGGTCTGCTCCCCCTCTTCCTCTAGATGAATGAATAACTCAAGAACTTGTAATTAGAACCTTTGAAGTCATCAAGTCCAGTCTCCTGTTTAATGCTGGAACCCCCTACAGAGTGTCCACATGATGGCAATTCAAGTTTTACTTGACCAGATCTGGTGTCAAAAGTAAGACTGCTGGCCAAGGAGTATTTTACATTTTGATAGCTGCTAACCAATTGTGCACATGCATGCAGCATATTGCACTGCCTCTGATATATACAAAAATCAGTGTGTGACAGCCACAGGGAGATAGATGATGACTCAGAGAAAGGAGTTTCTATTAGTTAAAAATGTCCCACAACAGACCAGACCGTATTGGGATTGTAAGTGTTTAAGAAGAGAATGGGTGACCAGTATGCTTTCAAGGGTGTTACAACATCGGGTATAAGAAGAGAGGAGCTGACATCTAAGGAATCTCTGAAATTCTCTGTCAAGGAAACACTTTGGACTCACTAAGAACTTCCTCCCTGTGGCAAGGCATCTAGAATGTTGGCTCATTTGTCCCTGAGTCCTTCCCAATGCAATTCATTTTTCAAGTGAGCCTCAGAGCACCAGCTACTTTGCAGGAGCCACAGCATGCTGGTCCCATTTTCTGATGTT